GGCAATCCGCATTTTTTCGTGCGAGGTTATCAGTCGATTCTTAAAAAAATCGAGAAATTGCTCGCTGAGGTTCTCTTCGGTAACCACCGATATGCCAGGCGTATCAATTCCGGAGTGGAATAAATTCATTACCCTGTCTGAGCAGGGCCTATCGCAAACAGCTATAGCCAGGTTAAGCGGCCACCCGGTGTCGACCGGGCAACAGTGCGGCGACAGAAGAGCACCCCGAGTGACGGCGGTTACAGCGCGCCACCGGCGAAACGCGAAAGTCCCAGACGCCCAGCGCGAGGGTTGAGGATATCTTAGTAGGACCCGCACCCTCGCACACAGGTGCATTTTCATTAGTTCTCAGGGGCCCTCCAGGTGGAGCAGCCAGTATCGATGGCCACGCGTTCCGGCGTTCGGGTTTCATTCCCTGCTGATTGTACACCCTGCCACCCACACGACAAAGGGATATCAGATACACGACAGCCGTCGCGCACGTAACATACCGGGTTCAATTCAATTCATTTTATTTACTCCCATTTTTACATATGGGTGACGGAGACAGGAAAAAAAGCTGCAAAATGTGCAGCTTGACAAAGCCCCTGCCCCCTATCGGCAGATCGGCATACAGGAAACGTTAACAGAAACATTTTAAAGGCGAAAAAACAAAACAGGCAGTTCAATGCAGGAGAAAAAAAGTTTATACACCAACTCATGTTTACAAACAAACCGGAGCGCCCCTAGCGGACGCCACCGGCGCCGCGCATGCGCGGAGGATGGTGGGCAAGAAGCCCGCCGTCGCCCATAAACAAACCATTGAATTGCGTTGTTGTCGGCGTCGGTGGGAGTCCCTGTGCTCTTTTTCGCGTTGGAATTGTTGATTCTACGTCCTCCTAACAATGTCTGCTTACTTGAGCGGCTTCAGCAAAACTATCGAGGCAAAACTTTGCGTGAATAATGTGACGTGCGGCGATTCATTTCACGTGGACGCTGCAGAATGGGCGCTAAAGCCTGACTCCCACGATAAGATTCTGCTCGCTATTTTCAGTCGCGACGTCGCTCGGACTGCAAAAGCGTGGACCGTAGCTGAGATGGCGGACATCGATACTAAAAACCGCAAGTAGAATCGGGCATTTCAAGTCGGTGATATCCGCTGGTAACAATAATCAACAACTTCTTGTATCTGTTTACACTTAGCCGACTTACCCCAACCGATCTTCAAATCTGTTTTGAGGCCTGCACTTAGTTCCTATCGCAATTACCGGGTCAACGTTTGGTTTACGGGCCGCTGTCGTTTGAACGAGCTGACGACAAAAAGCAGCCCAGTTTGAAAGAGCAGACGACAGTTCGAACGCACGCGCAATGGAGTACGGGCAAGAAGCACCGCGTCCCGCGTCAACAAACCATTCGAATGCCACGTTGTAGGCGTCTGTGTGAGTCTGCATACTCTTTTTCGCGTTGGAGTTGTCAATTCTACGTCCTCATCGCAATGTCTTACCACTTGAATCGCCTGAGCGAAATTATCAAGGCTCGTTACGCCGCTAAACTTTCCGTAAATAATTTGACGTGCGGCGATTCATTCGCATGAACGCTGTAGAAATGGACGCCAAAACCATGAAGAGATTCTTGTAGCTATTTTCAATCGCGACGTCGCTCGTGCTGCAAAAGTGTAAAAGGTAGCGGCGATGATCGACGTCGATACTGAAAATCGGAAGCGGGAACAGACCAAGCGTAGCAAGTAGGTGATGGCCACCGGTACCAATAATTAACATCTTGTATCTACTGTTTACACCGAGCCTACTTAAGCCTTTTGAGGCCTGCAATTACTTCTTATTGCAATCACCGGGTCAAAGTTTGGTCTACGGGCCGCTTTTGTTTGAACGAGCAGACGACAAAAAGCAGACAACTTTGAAAGAGCAGACGAAAGTTCGAACGACCAGGCGGCCGTGTGAATTGGAGGACACACTGAACCCGTGGGTGGTCCGGACAACTTGGGGGTTTTCTCTCGTTCATGTTAGAACAATGCAAACACATCTGGCGACCACAAATTGTGGCCCGCACACGCAATCGTAGTTCGACAGCGTCTGGTTTGCCCTTTTCACGGCTACTATCCACGTTCTCGAACGAACGGAGGGTGCAAAAACACATGAAAACTGATCTTCAAACCTTTCCAGACTATCTTGGTAAAGCCCCCATCGCAGCATTTTGACGAGAAGGCAGGTTTTTTGTCTCGTTTGTTCCAAAGGAACACAGGAATGCATGTCTGGCACGGCGACTTCTGCCCACCGCCCCAGACCGGAAGTGCGTCCGGCGCGCCACCACCGCGGCGTGACGTAGGAGAGTTGAGTTGGTGTATAAGTTAGAAGTGAATATTGTGCGTATTGTTTTCTTATTTAGTGCATCAAGACAGACATGGTGGTCTCTTGAAAAGTTCAGTAATGTTGGCAATGTATGCTGTAACATTTGAAGCCCATAATTTGTTCTAGGACGAGGCACTCTCAGGGACCCGGCGCTACGTACTCCGTATACCGTATTTTTAACACTTAGTCTAGAAAACCGCAGTAATGGGTGGTTAAAATACTTAAGGGATGCCCCGTATACTGTCGCAAGCTTATATTTGTAATATTCTTGTATTTTTATTACTTTATGCTTACAGAAATGTGGATCGGTGTGTGCGTAATACGACGCATTGGCTACGACTCGAATTGCGCTCTTCTGCAATAAAAAAAAGTTTATTAAGGTTTGTACTGGTCGTGGTTGCCCACACCAGGTTACAGTAGGATATACGAGAATGGAACAATGCATTATAAATTAAGAGTTTAATACTAGATGGTAATGTATGGCGATGCTTATATAGAATTCCTACGATATTTGAAAGCTTAAGTATAAGATTTTGAATATAGGAGTCCCATAACATATGTTCATGAAAAATTATGCCTAAAGTTTTAACAGTGCTTGCAAATTCAATTTCCGAAGAATTCAACATTAACTTTACATTAGGATTGCACACTCTACCTTTTGATTTAAAGATAACGGCTTTTGTTTTGGTTTCATTTATTTTTAGGGAATTTGAGACAGTCCATGAACTAAGCTTTTGCAGACATGTGTTTGCATCGGCTATCATTATATCAATATTGTTCCTTGAAAAAAATATACTAGTATCGTCGGCATACATGACAAATGAGGCGTTACTTGCAATAGCGACTACATCATTTATAAATAAATTAAAAAGCAGTGGCCCCAAGACACTACCTTGAGGTACCCCTGTTCGGACCGCTTTCAGCATAGAAGAAAAACCATTAATTTTAACTGTTTGCATCCGACCGCTTAAGTAACTTTCAATTAAAACAAGAGAATGCCCTCGAATGCCATAGAAATTTAATTTTTTTAATAGAATTTTATGATTTATCCGGTCGAAAGCTTTTGAAAAATCGATAAATATCCCCAACGTTAAGAGTGTGTTTTTATATTATTTAGAATAATTTCTTTTTGCTGTAGAAGAGCTAGTTCAGTAGAGCGGCCTTTCCGAAAGCCATATTGAAAATCAGTAAATATCGAATTTTTTTCACAAAAGTTGTTAAGTCTAGCGTGTATAATCTTCTCTAAGCCCTTAGAAAAAACGGGTAAGACTGAAATTGGTCTGTAATTGGACATGTCATTTCTATCTCCAGACTTATATAAAACAGACACCTTCGCAATCTGCATACCCTTTGGAAAAACGCCAGTCGAGAGCGACAAATTAAAAATATGTGTGAGGTACGGCGTAATGATGTCAATCACATATTTTAACGGCTGCACCTGTATACCATTAAAATCAACACATTTCGGTGGCTTTGGCGGATGACCAAGTGACTTTCATTAAGAAATTCGGCAGATTTGTTTAAGTGCTCGGGTGTGCCTCAAGGGGGTGGATTCTGTTTTATCTATCTTGCATCTTTTATGTGTTCCTTTCCGTTCCTCGCAGGAATAAACTTCAGTTGCCAGTCAGCGTTCTGTTCGTTCACTTTTCGTTCTTGTCCCTTGCTTTTTTTGTGCTGTTTCCAAGTTTGCATTATGAACCAACTAGCCCAACTTCACGCCTTGTTGCTTTATTTTTTTATTTTTTTTTTGTTGACACTAGGTTTAGTCGTACAAATTTTTTTGTATCACGTTTTCTTTATGCAATGCCCGAAAGGGCCTTTAGGGTTAAACTAAATAAATTTACGGGAAAAGTGACGTTTGTAGTGTAATACAACTTTGTGTTCTTTTATCGATGATACAAGTATCTCTAGACTGTTTATTTATCAAACACCTATTTTTTTGGCGAATATCATAAGTCTTGCTTTTTAACCGATAAGCGTGTCTGTATTTTGTTATAATAGAACCATTTCCTTACTTTGACTCAAGGTTTCCCGATATTTCCTGGTATATTACTAGCATTTTTTACAGTGTAAACACCGCAGATACACGGACCCATTTTTCATATTGGGAATGTTCCGAACAAAGTTTAGTATTCGTATTCGATTCGACATCCGAATTTTTGGCTATTATTCGAAACTATTCGATTCGAGTTCAATTCGACTTAAAATTTCGTTATTCGCACACCCCTAATATTTTCTTTCTTTCTTTAAATCCCTTTGTGGTCTGCCGAGGCCCTGTCCAAACTTTTGTGAAGTAGACACTGTAACCTCTTGAATTAAGCAGTGTTGTCGTTGTGTCCCTTCAGTCACGAACGTTTATGTTTGAAACAATATGCCACGAAACACGTTAGCCGGGCAAAATAATAATATAAAATCGATATATTTGAAATTTATTTTACTCCAGAGTTACAAACAGCGTTAAAAAATTAAACTTAATACAGATCAAAATAGGTGCATGAAAACAAAAAGAAAATATCAAAAATACAACAGAATATACTTGTATCGCGTTACAGCCCAGCCGTTTCTCAACTCGCAGCATGAAGTACTAAAGGCAAGAGATTTTTTTTTACAGAAAATCATTATAAATAATAAAACAAGACGAAGGGCACATGACATTTCTTTATTTATCGCACTCATCGTAACCAAAGTTACTTCCTTTCAGAAGCAGTGCACCATTTTCTTTTAATTTTGTTTTTTCTATCCTCCACATCCGCATCCCATTGATAGAGGATGTCTTTCACTTTTTCAGTGCAGTGCTGTAGAGAAAGAAAATGCAATTATAGTTTTATAACAATCAGAACACAGATATCAGTGTTCTAAAACAACCTAGTCGTTTTATTAAATTCACGGCATTTTTATACAATAAAATGCGCGATAAAAGGTACTTCCCAAAATATGCGTTAAAATGTAAATTTTCCAAATGAGACTGGGCTACATGAGAGGAGGTTTAATTTCAGTAGTCAACCAAAAAATATCCTTTCATCCTCTTGACTATTATATTAAAGGGGCCGTGGCACAATTGCTAGACTTTCACTAAATACCTGAGTGCCTTAATCTTTGACATTCACAGCCTACAAAACATGAGTCAGTTTTAACTCCACGTAATGGAAGTCACGAAAAAAATATCATAGAATGACAAGCGGCGTTCACGGACATGTCACGGACAGAATGAACGGTCATATCATCTCGTGCCAATTATATGCTGCCAAATGTTCATCCCAACCGTGCACCGGGGTTGGTGAATCATACTGCACCTGCGGAGCTCCAGACACTGTTAGGGCTCGGTTGTTCCTGCCATTGCACCGATTTGAAAAGAGCCACCAACCAAACACTCATCGAGGCATGGATTGTCACGAGTCTACCCCGAGTGCTCACACAGTACTTGTGTCCTACCTATGAGCTGCACTTGTATATCGTTGTCACATGATACTCCCGAGGCTACGATAACAATGCTATGCCCATTACTACGTCATTGCGTTTCGCGAGCAAGAAGTATAAAGAAAAATTCTACATGTATCGTTGCAATTACACGGATACGAAGACGCTTGGTCAGTGGCGTTACGTGCATGTAACTAAGGTAGCACAGGTGCTAGTAAGCTTGTGTAGAGAGAAAACGTTGCAACTCAATGTCGTTCCTTTGTAGCGGATCGCGTTGGTTTAGTGTAATAGTTGTAGAAACAATAAAAAAATAGGACGGGACATGGACAGCACATCCATCGAAATATGACCTTTTCGTTTTCTATTTCAATATGCAGTTTTATCCAATTTGTTCCAAGACCTTCACAAATACTACTATCACTACCTGCTTCTTTTTCCTAAAGTATCAACCACTGCCACTAATGTCGCTTTGTATACTGTTTATATTTTTGTTAAAAAATTATATCGCCTTTAGTACTACTATTATAATGTAATATATTTTGTGATACTAATGATTATAACTAAAAAACACGCAGTACAGGTCGTATAATTTAAGAAGACATTATCATCAATAGGCCGACAGGCGGACAGTGTTTTATGTGGCCATGGCCATCCAATCTATGCCCACCGGTCATTGACGTGATTGTCACTTGCCTAAACGCGAAACTGAGCGGTTTTAGAAACTTTGGCTGTATCGTCAGGTTTCGGAGTACGTTAAAGGAACTAATTCCACCAGCTGATGCCTCTTGAGTGGTCGACGGGGTCATGTGAAGAAATTTTCATGAATTGGCTAAAAGGTGGATAGTATTTCACGTTGCCACTCCCACCCAATTTATGCCAACCGGTCATTGACGTGATTGTCACTTGCCTAAACGCAAAACTGAGCGGTTTTAGAAACTTTGGCTGTATCGTCAGGTTTCGGAGTACGTTAAAGGAACTAATTCCACCAGCTGATGCCTCTTGAGTGGTCGACGGGGTCATGTGAAGAAATTTTCATGAATTGGCTAAAAGGTGGATAGTATTTCACGTTGCCACTCCCACCCAATTTATGCCAACCGGTCATTGACGTGATTGTCACTTGCCTAAACGCGAAACTGAGCGGTTTTAGAAACTTTGGCTGTATCGTCAGGTTTCGGAGTACGTTAAAGGAACTAATTCCACCAGCTGATGCCTCTTGAGTGGTCGACGCTGTCATGTGAAGAAATTTTCATGAATTGGCTAAAAGGTGGATAGTTTTTCACGTTGCCACTCCCACCCAATTTATGCCAACCAGTCATTGACGTGATTGTCACTTGCCTAAACGAAAAACTGAGAGACTTTAAGAATTTTGGCTGTATTGTCAGGTTTCGACTTCCCACCAGCCGATGCCTCTGTAGTGGTCAACGTGATCATGTGAAGAAATTTTCATCAATTGGGTCAGAGGCGGACGGTATTGCACGTGGCCACTGCCACCCAAACTATGCCCACCAGTCATTGACGAGACAGTCATTTGCCTAAATGCGAAACTGAGAGGCTTTGGCAATTTTCGCTGCGCGTCAGGTTTCGGTGTACGTTAAAGAGCTTCTTCCAGCGATTTGATGCCCCTTTAGTGCCGATGTGATCATGTGGAATCGCCTCTTATATCAGAGGCGTTTCTATTTCGTGAGACAATCGGGAAGGGTGTTGTATAGTAGTTACACGTTAAAATTATTGTATGCTATGTACCGTCAGTACACTCGATATAGGAAAATATCCGATCAACTGAAGAAACGTAACAAAGATGACTGACTGCGTCTTGCCCAAGTAATCCGATGGAATAACGCTTAGGTTTTGCGAATCTAAAAACGGTACGCGTATTAACTCTGCGAAGAATCAATGGAGAGTCAGTAAGTACCACTAGTGTTATTGCTAAAAAAACAATGCTAAAGTATTGACATGGAATTTTGGCCTGCCCTTACTAAATTAAAAGTAAACGATACATAAGTAACTTTTTTAAAATATATATCAAACGAGGAAGGCTGTTGTATCACGGGTACCCGCAAAGAAAAAATCGCGAAGGCAGCGAGAAAAATTTTTCGTGACTTACAACTTTACCACCGGAGCAAACCCCATCTGGCAACGGCAACCTATTTTTACCTTCTTCACCGCATTTCAGCTCGCATGTGTGACGGTCATAACTTTCAAAATCCTGCAATGCATTGGCATATTATGTCACAAATAAGAAAGTAAAAGTAGTGATATGTCAATAACTGCCATCGCTTGCGTCGATGCCGGTGTAACGGCAGGATCGAGCGCTCGAGCAACATTGACAGCAGAGATGCTCACTCGCAGTAGCACCCTTATGATCTGTTGTTGCAGAGGCGTTGCACGACTTTATTAGCCTCTGGAACAGTTTGCTCATTCCGGCGGCCGTCCGAACCGGCAAGTGAAATAGCCACAGGAGGGATTTTTTAGGCGGCGTGACCAGTCTCATGGGGAGAGTACCCAGCCTTTAACTCGCATGACCTTTCCCTTCTTAAAAGTAACTCTTTATTTATCTTCTAAAGTACTTTGATGCGGTTAATTTCACTTACATTTCAAGCCATTCACCCTTTGTCTTCAAGCAAAATTGTACTTTAATAATCCAAACACAAATAAAATTAGAACAGCCATCTGCCTGGAACGCGGGGCCATCACTTTCTCGTCCTCCCTATTATATCACCACTAAATCCTGCGTGCGGCTATTTTGCCTGCCGGGAACACCCGCATAGATCAGTAAACGTGGTGTGTAAAGACGCACGACATCGACGCTGTAAAGGTGCACGACTCCGTTCGCAGTTTTAAATTCACACTGAAACATCCAACACCCTTGTGTACATAAGCTTGTTCAGGGGTTAACAGCCTAATGGTGTTATAGAAACACGTTTTGGATTCGGGTGAACGCAAAAAATGTGGTGCTCAAAATAACAAGCAACAATCATCACTTGCAGTTATAACATGCACAGAAACAGCAAATAAAAGCGCAATAAATCTCGCACGAGAGAGGAATCACAGCACTGGTGACTGCTGCACCGCATTAGACACTCATTTACAGGTAAGCGTCTCCGAAATTACGAAGGTTACACGTATGTTGCTTTGTTCTCGTCAACATTTTGCGTAATGCATACTTCATCTGAAGCGTCAACACATGTGAGAAAAAATCACGTCGCATCGCACCGCCGCGCAGCGGAACTATAGAAGCCACCAATGACAGCAACGGTTGTTAGCGGTTGCTGTCATTGGTGTCATGTTCCCTGAGCGGTGCGAAGCGACGCGATTTTTGCTCACATGTGTGTCACGCTAAAAAATACCCTGAGGAGGTTTCTGAGGTCGCCTAAATATGCCAATAGGTCACTCTTCTGCCTCTAAGTATCCTAGAAATTCTTAAATCAAGACAATACGCAGCAAATTTTCATATTAACAAACAAAAAAAAAATCAAAGATCGCAACATACCGAGGTCACCTCCGACGATGGAAGGAGCAGGTTCAGACAACCAGGACCACTGTCAGTCAATAGCAGGCAAAGAATTCTCGCGCCTCCGATTGGTGGAACCGCGGAGTGATATCTCGAATGCACGTGGCTCGTTGCCCATACAGCCCGGACAATACGATTCAACACAGTGAGTACGCTGAAGAGCTGACGATCGGACACATCACTCTCGCGGAAGACAAGAAAATAAAGGAAAGCACATAATGCGCTGTTTTTTATGCGATTATTGCAGTAATATGTTCCCTCTCGGCGAAAAGCTAACATTTTTCGACCGCTCATAATTATTTGCTTTTATCATCTAAAAAGAGCATACATATTTTGTAATAACAGCGTTTGCAATCTCAACGAAATGTCGCGTTTTCATTGATTAAATGTCGTCCTGGCTGCCACAACAATGTCCCTCCCGTCGCCTCAGATGACCTCGGTGTGTTCAACCTTTGACTGCTTTTTCAATAGGGAAATCGGCCGAACATCGTACTATTTTATGTACTTCTATACGATGCTTAAAGCCCACAGAGTGAGTCATTGCCATACTTAGGCGCCCTCAAAAATCTTCTCAGGGCACCTTTAAGTTTGAGGAATGTATGTCCAAGTAAAGAACATTAGTACAGGCAAACGGTTAATAAAGATCGTCGCCAAAACAAGTGTCATTGCAGCTAACACGCTTAAAAAAGGATAATCTCTACACTCACTCACTCCCTCAATACACGCTTTCGCGCACCCTCTTTACAACCTTAAAAAATAAAGGGTGTTCACTGTTTACACCACCCTACTTTACAATTAAAAGGTGTGTTCTAGGCCCCCTTGCATATAGCGGACGTTCGCTGCTTTGGGACACGGAGCAACCGGTCTTCGTGGTGGAGCGACGACTCCCGGGGTACAGAATGCAGCAGACAGCTGCTCCGCGGCATTTCCGCTGCTATAGGCCGCCACCACCGCTGCTAAGACGCTGTTTCGGCTGTTCTTTCTACCACCGCTGTCCTCCAATGCTAGTGCCACAGTACCTAAATCGTCGAGCTGGTCGAGTGTAGCTTATATTTGTTGCCCTAGCTTATCAACCGATCGACGACCCCTCCAACAGAATAATAAGCACGCACCGAGATAAGAGTGACATCACACATGTTGATTGCAACTCCGGTCGTTTAGTGGGGACGTGGACACCTCGGAACCGCATCGTATCGCTTCTCCGACTTTCGAACCGCTCCTAACTAGGCTTACAACAGCACAGCATCCCTTTGATATTCTGATAACTTTCGGTTGTCAAGCACTGCAGCTGCAGTCGCTTTCGTGGCTGCGACACAACGCTAACGAAAATATCGAAACTGAAATATTGCGAGAGACTACGGATCAAACGTTTCCGGGGCAAGCGTCGGAGAGAACTTCTCCGGATCGCTCGACGTGCTCCGCCACTTTCCCTCGGATCGGTTGGAGCTGCTCGGTGGGCCCTCCACCGTTTCCAGATAAGCGGCACACGGAGAGATAACGCGCAATTTTCGAATGGCACAGGAATTCCCGTGCAAGCGCGCGCAGGGCTCTGGTTATTTGCTAGGAAAACGTTGCTTTTAGTGTACGAGTCGATGTAGCCACACTCTAAAAAAAAAGGGTGTCATGGGGTACACCCATAGGGGGTGTAAGTGCTTGTCACATATACTACACCCTTTGGGGGAATACAAGCGCACCCCAAATATGGGAGTACGTGTACACCCGTTGGTGTGGTGCACATATACACCTTTTTCTACAGAAATCTCACTCGAAGGGAACACAGGTGCACCCCATTCGATGGTGTACGGCTACACCTCTTTCTACACCCGCTTCACTCAAAGGGAACACAGATGCACCCCATTCGATGGTGTACCAATGCACCTCTTCATACACCCGCTTCACTCAAAGGGAACACAGACGCACCCCGCTCAATAGTGTACCATTACTCCCATTGTTACACCTATTGCTCTCAAAGGGAACACAGGAGCACCCCGTTCAATAGTGTATTGTTACACCTCTTTCTACACCCGCTGAATTCGAAGAGAACACAGATGCACCCGATTCAAAGGTGCATGGTTACGCCACTTTATGCACCCGTTTCATAACTTCATAAACCTATTTAGGATATCAAGGAAAACAGTAAAAAATGTATGCGCCCCGGTGATTGCAAAAAGGCAGGTAAACGGACACACGGTATTGTTTGCAAATCTCATAGAAGTTTATTAGACAGCCTATTCCGTAAACAAGTACAAACTTGCAAGCAATCCGTGATATCTGAAGACGCACAAAGAAGCTTTTACACAACTGAAAATATTACTAAGCAAACAAGAACCGGGGGTGAGTCTTATGTACTGTCCATTCTGCCAGCAGCCCGTAATTTATTTCCACAAATATCCACCGGCAGTCGCCGTTAATTCATCGAACGACGTTTCATCGACAGCTCAGATTAGCTTTTCTATTTTAGCTTCTCTCCTTTCTTTTCTTGTAATGAGCCGCCCCAGAATGTATCCGCGAAGTGACGTGTATGGGTGGGACAGGTGGGCTAACATTTTTGTAATGAGCTGCCGCAGACTGTCGCCATGAAACGGCGCGAACGAGTCGGCTGGGTCGGTGAGCACGCGCCTCAGAGACACACGCGCGACAAAATGTCCCTACAGCGTGCATTTTGCGTAACGAGTGAGGATGAAACATTAGTGTCGATGAAACGTGTCTACAAAACGTGGATCGGCAAAAACGTGTTTTCACAAAACGCCAGTAGAATAAGAAAGTCAGTATTCCACCTGCAGTTGTCACATGATTGTATACAGCTAATGGCAGGCGACTGCCGATAGAATTTCGGGGAAATTATTCTCCCGGCTGATAGAAAATAGACAATGCCTAATTCTAGAGGTAATCCGGAACGGAACGGTCAGTTGTTGCAAAGGAGTAGGTTGCAGTGCACTTACGATGAAAATACCGGACTTGAAATATGTAATCCGATATATTTGTCGACGCGGGCACTGCAGAACCACACAAACACAGAAACGAAAAGAAAGGGGTTCGTGATGATTCAACACGATGTGTCCGAAGCAGTAATTTGCCGAACCGAACACTAAACACATCACATAACTTCCTTGGGCTTTTTTGAAGAAATCCCCTTTGCCGATACACGCGCAGGACTTTTCAAACACTGGAAATCTTGGTACACTCGAATACGTTGTCGCGGGCGAAATCTACGGCAGCCCCTCGCAGCACAGCACACAAGCAACTAGGCCGGGAAGCAGACATTCCGAGGTCGAAAAAAGCTACTACGTCATCCGTGAAACCTTTACCACATGATCACGCTCCTGCCGTATCCGCGCTCAGACAGAGGAGTCGAGGGATAAAAAAAGCCTTCGGTTCATTGGTCCGGCAACTGCGCGCCTTCTTCCATACTTTCAGCTTAGGGAGAGAAAGAAAAAGAAATGAGTATAAAAATTGCAGCTCCTTCAAGGCCAAAAGATGCCACCCTCGCAAAGGCTTATCTTCAGGGGCAACCCAACAATGAAAGGATTTGTCGCTTATATCGTCTTAAAAGTTCGACCCAAAGTTAATAGTGCAGTGGATGCTATCCGTGGCCTTGGCCTTCAGGCTGGTGCCGTGCTCTGCCTTATCTCTAGCTTGGAGACTGTAGTCACGTGATCCTACCCGGAGACCCGATTGGACTAAAACAAGCATAGCGTCCACTCTACTGTCAATACCGAGGGAACACGATAGCTCCATACTTCGTGAGAAACTGCCCATCCCAAAGAGTGACCCCCATGGGGGAATCCAAGCACAAGCTGATCGGGGCGCGTGGCTAGCGTGGCGGTGCACTGGTAGGTACACCTAGAGGTTTTTAAGGGAGAGGGGGATGCTCATTGTCGGTGTACAAGCACACTGGCTGGGCAACGGAGGGTGCGTCTTGCAAGAAAAGGGTGCATGAGCGCCTGATGCACCCGACTACACCCTTTTTTTCTTAGAGTGCACGCTGACTGTTGTTAGGTGCGCCGTACAGCTTTAGTATAGTGCGCCTCGTGTTACACAACCTGGACTTGTGAGGTGTTATGCTAGTGAAACAACATGCGTGACCCCCCACGGAAAACCGAAAACGATTGAGCACCACAACTTGAGGCATTCGCTCGCCCAAAATGTGTCAACCATTTTTATAAGGCAAAGTTTACACCCAAAACAAAATCCTTTACAATTATCCTCTACAATTTTCGGTGACGCAATGTGGCGATGCAGGCGAGTTGGTTCATGATTACAACTGGTAGCAGCGCGCAAAAAAAAAAAGACAAGGACCGAGGGAGCAAATCAACCCTTTGTCCTTGTGTTTTTGGCGCGCTGCTACCAGTTGTATTCAATGACGCATTGCGTAAAAGCTCTCTGTTATAGCGTCATTTCTACTTGTGCCAGGTGGGGCGAGTAGTTTCACAAACACGAAGGCGGAAGGCATTCGATAGGTTACAACCTATCAAATGCCTTCCGTGTTCGAGTTCTTAAAGTTACTCGCTCCTCGTGGCTCAAGTAAAATAGGCGCTATAACAAAGAGCTTTTACGCGAAGCGTCATTAGATTGGTAACATTGTGAGTATTTTACAAAATATTACGGGTTTTCATACCTGACATACGCTTAATTGCAAAAGCATTAACTGTCCTGTAAAGTGAACCGGCGTTATCAGCTTTTGAAGCCGCGAAAAACGGCACCTACTTTCCCCTGTCCCATGGAGCGAAGCCTGTAGTGTGTAGCAGCGAAGCAAGGAATAAATTCCCATTGGTTGCGACGCGTCATATCAGATGCTTCGTCACGGAAGCTAGCGGGGCCGCTCAATGTCAAAACGGGCGCGCCTCAGAAAAAAATAGCACACTAAGAAAAGCACAACAACGCAGATGCCAGGTCACGGAAGCCATGGAGCCGAGGGGAAAGGGGAAGGGGGGGGGCGCTTGTTTTGTGGGAAAGCGTGATGTCACCACCGGAACGCAGTGTGAAAATGGAAGCCGCGGCGCGTAGTCTTTTTAAGCGCAAAACACATGTACGACGAAACCGTCCGATCCGACGTCCGACCGCGCAATACGACGGTCGGAGGCGAGGGTTTTCAACGCTCTCCGATGCTACGAAAACTCTCTCCCCCCAAGGTCATTCCGGCAGTCCGCACGTCGGATCGGAAGGTTTCGTCGTACACGTGTTTCGCGCTTTAGAGCGCAGCTCTTTGACGCCCGTTTCCGGCTTGAGCGGCGTCGCCGTCGCCGTCGGCGTAACCGCGCGGTGCATTATGGGATATGTCTCATAATGCAACGCGCGGGACTCGTGACGTCACGAGGATCACGTGACATCATGAGGGTCACGTGAATTCACGTGACCTCACGTCACGCGTTGTATTATGGGGAACGTCCTTTCTCCCTCCCCCTTCTCCTCCCTCCTCCTCCTTGAGAGCTGCGCTCTAATTTTGCATTACAGAGATTTGTAAACGTCTTTCTTTTTTTTCTGCTTAAACTATTAGTCTTCTCATTATAAGAACTAGGCAGTCACACAGAATTACCTAAAAAAAATTTTAATTTATACTTGATTGTTTTCTATGCCTTCAAAAACTTACATCAAATCCTTCGCGTGTGCATTCTGTCATTCCGTTTTTAATGATAAGCTGTACGCAGTCGATCTGACCTTCAGTAGCAGACAAAAACGCCCCTGAAAACGGGGGCAAAAAGATCTGGTGTTAAGGCACTACTTCGCTGGGTCATGGCAGCAGCCCATTTTAGCCATAAATGAACTAAACATTTTTATTTATATTATTTTTTTATTCTCTTTTACTTTTCTTTTCAACCCCTGAGTTTACTTACATACAGATGCTAAAAACGCATTCCACTTTTTATTGACACTGTATAAATAATGATTGGTTTGGAAATGTCTCCTCGATTCGATCAACATATTACTGATATTATTTGATGTTAAGAATGTTCTAGCCTCTTGTACAATTCGTAATTGTTTTTGTTAAGTGAACTCTTTGTTATTGTACAAAATTTTGAATATTTCAAATAAAAGCTTCCAGAAACTCAATACCTAGAGGATCGCGACCGCTTCTTTGTAACCTCAAGATAATACAATTTCTTGAACGGGTACAGTATATGAAAGATGAGCACTTTAACAGTGAATCGTGTGTGACACTTTTGAATGGCATGTGATGCACTGACTTCCTTTATGTCATATTGATATTGCACACTGCCTGTTACTACCTCGTCAGGCACCTGACGTTCTAAAGCATTGCTTCATATAACAAACGACGTTCAAACAGCAGCGGTGGCAACCAATCACAAATGCCTTAAAGGGTAACTGCAAAGAAAAAAAAGTTTTTTTTTAAACAGCCTAATTGGGACAAGCATGTCACAAAACAAATGTTCCGCGAAAAAAATGATTTTTTTATCAATATTTACGCCACAGGACGTAATTTAGTAGAGTCAGAACCTCTCCATATTTGAAACTCCCGCTCTTTCGACCCCCGCGGAAGAGGAGTACGCCCCGCCCCTCAATCTTCTTGCGTTGCGGAGTTGAACGACGCAGCGTCTCGACTTCCGGCAAGATCTGGCAACTACGCCAGGCCGTGTGGGCCGTGTAGCGAAGACGTGACCGGAGAAGTGCCCCTGTGATGTTCCCGGAAGACGGAAAGTATCGTTCGAAATCGTCGTGCGCGCCGTGAAAGCGAAGGGAGTCACAGAATCCACGAGTGCGCAACCACAAGCCAAGGTTCACGACAGCGCTGCGTTGGTTTCGGCGATCTCGTTCTGTTTGGTGCAACACGGCGATGCGACAGAGCTGAAACGTTCGTGGTGTGTGTAATGCGGTGCTAACACGGAGCGCAAATTGGTTGTGGGGTTGACGTTCAACCAGTTAAGTCCCGTCGTCGTCAGCTGATCCAGCCAAGCTGGGCCGGGAGGACGCTGGGAGCATTTTTAAAAGTAAATCTGCCTCGTTCTGTTTCAAAATGTGGAAGTTTCCCGACGCATACCGTGAGTAAAAAGCTGCGGTTGTTTTCAAGAAAATTACGTAGTTTTAATTGAACAATGGACTCCGAATTGTTGTCCTAAATCTGCCGTTTTTATGCTTCGTGTTGGACTGCGCTTGCACAGCGACGTGTTGCATCGTGCGGTGTGAATAAATTTGGGCACGATTTCGTACCTGCCTACAGATGCATGAACTGAGACCATTTTTACGTAGTGGACATAGTGCTTTTTTTTTATTTTCTGTCTAGTCGCGGACGTTAGGTGCACAAGGGGCGAATCTCGACGGCCTCCAGAGCGATATGACGAGAACGTAACTAGACACGTTGGTCGCTACGCGAACGCCCGATTGCCTCCAGCCAAATAGCATTCCTTTCGGGGCGACATGGCTGCTGGAAGGCTCACTGTCGGGATCACGCATCTGACGTCTCCGAAAAGTTAGCATTTGCACGCGCAAACAAGCAAAACAAACAAACAAAAAAAAAGAAAAAGCACGCTAAGCAAGCAAAGAGGAAAACAAAAGAACCGCGCTATGAAAGTCAAAACCCCGCGTCGCTTCCTATCACTAACACCTGCGACAGCCGCTAAACACACACTACTTCACTTCAAGAAGTCTCACTCAAGCACCTGGGTCAGCACAAAACGACGAAACACTGATCACTTCGGCGAAACGATTAGTCGAGGTAGGCGAGACAGGCGGGAGCAGAGACTTCGGCCACTTCGGCGGCCATGAAAGAATGGCGAAGCTTTTGTTTGTATGAATCCAAACGGAAGTGCCCGTCTTGTAAACCTTTTGTAAAGATTAATAACTCTCATCACATGGGTTATTCTTTAAACGTAAAAATATGCCGCTCAAAAGGAAATTGCAACATATAACAAAGGTTTAACAACCAAGATCTAAGCTGTCAATCAAACTCTTAGCCAATGAGAACCTTTTGGGATTGACGTCACATAATCACAACTTCGTGGCGCGCGATTTAAAACGGACGAAATAGCCGCAAACTAAAATGAGTCTCACGCAATAAATATTGATGTAAAAAATGTTTTTTCTCGCGGAAAAATTGTTTTTTGACATGCTTGTCCCAATTAGGCTATTTAAAAAAAAACTTTTTTTTCTTTGCAGTTACCCTTTAAATTGAAAAAAAAACGGACTAAACATTCTGAGAGAGAACTTTAAGAAAGTATAGTATATATTATATTCATATTTCTTTGCATCGACTTACCACTTTGAAGTGCCGGTAGAATAAGAATCACGGCGCAAAGCACGAGCTGAATTTTGCTTAACGGCAACATCCTCCTAAAAGTGTAACAATTACATAAATATAACCTCGAAACTCGGCAATGCAATTGTTTCGCAAAATATAGTGGGAAAGGTTTAAGGCCACTTAAATGACGCGTTGTACAACAGATGTATGCATAGTTTGTGGAATAGGTTGAAGTATACGTCCGGTTAATCCTACACAAATGCCCACGACACAATTAAACTATCACAAAAACATTGCGAATACAAAAGAATATTAGTACACTTGCAAAATAAATAAAACTCATTTGAACAAACAATGTACACCCGTAGTACCCAGGGAAGACCGAAAGTCACGTGATACAAAATTGATGTTGTGAACCTGTTTTAAAACAAAGAACCAGGTACAGAAAGATCGAAACATATTTATAAACTTTTACGTAGATGGTTTTTGAGAATGCCAATGCCAATTTTGAATTCATAATTGTTTTAAGCAAGAAGAAAACCAACTAAATATTAAGGTGCGACTAGCAAACTTGACAGCACACAAAATCTTGCTCACAACATGGATTTTCCAATGCTCTGACGTATTACTCTTGAAAACTTTTTTTTTTTCAAATGATACACTGTAACATAGGTTCAACGTGACATAAACCACGAGACAGCAGGTAAAGAACTAAGCAAAGAATGAAACGTTGAACGTTTGTGTCGTTTGTTTTACCTGCAGTATCAGGGTTTTGGACATGATCAGTAAACACCGTGCAACTCGTTTGCGCTCTTGCATTCAGTTCATTACTATAAGATGCCCTTCTAATTTCTCGACCATTTGAGAGAACCGCCTGAAGAGATATGGCGTGTTAGTGCGCAACCTTTACTGTGAACTTAGAGGCCTATTTTTTTTTTTAAATCATCGGAAACGAATATCCCCGAAAACGGGAGGAATAACATGACAACCTAGCTCAAAAAGACCTCCACAGCAGTCCGTTATTCAAACAAAGTTTGTTATAAATACAATATAACGAGCGTATCCATTGAACTCTAGGCGCCTCTAACAGTGCGGCATTCCGACAAAAACTAATACAAAAGTGTAGCAACTTCAAGGAGAACTTACGTAAGGCTTTCTTGCTTCAATAAACTTGATGGGGCGATTGCTCGTCTGAGGTGTGGAAAGTTTGCTGCCTTATTTATATCCCAGGTTGTAGGCGTGTTCCTCGCAACGGACGATTCCGTGAGAATATTCTCGCCAATGGTAGCTTTGGAAGCAGGCGGGAGGAGACAAAGAGTGCATCTGTAAACCTTGCCCATATACTCGATTCGAAGAGCATTGTCCCACCCTTGAAAAGAATGGGCAACTACTGTGCTGCTAACAATAACCTTTTTTATCGCAGTTTATACCCTCGAGAAGTTCTATGACCGTGTTTACTCCTTCGAATATTTTTTTTCGGGACAAGAGTACGACTCACCTCTAAAGCATGATATTCTAGGCTACGTGCACTACCTAGAGGTGCCGACTATGCAAGGGTTTTGTCTTACAAAACTGTTTGTTATCGCCAGAGAGGCCCTTTGTGGTCTTTGAGATAAAGCCGTATCATGCAGAGCAGTCTAGTCCGCTTTACTTTGAGTCCCATCACAGACCACGCTGCAACCCTATGTAGCCAACCGAGCAGCTCCCACAGTGCAACGCTTATCGTTCTTACACGTTTCTTTTAACCGGCAAAACCAATCACGCGGAGTGAATGCCTCCGTAATCCTGCCCTTAGTTCGGTGCGTGATTGATTTAGCCATTGATTGCAAACCCGAAAGCAGCGAGAGCAGTAATCGTGCAATTTCGGCGTGGCTTGATTGGCTACTTGAAATCCAAACATCGGCTACAGTCGAACTTGAAGGGAAACGGAGCATAATAAGATACACACTTCCAACCAGTTTTGAGCAGCTGCCCCAAGGCCCCAAGCAGTGAGCATGATCTGGAAGGGGAAAAAAATTAAGCTTGCTAGGAATAGGGTGCAAACGATCACTGAGGTTGTTTAGACCCCCAGATAAAAATCATTTGTTTCCCATACGTACCGACGAAGCGGTACCAAAACGAATGCCATACAGGCCAGCTGGCTAGGCTTGTAAAGGTTCGATTTCGCTCTAGGAAGAAAAGTTTCTTGAAATATATGCAATGTAGGCGGTGTTCGTATAGTTTGGAAGCAATTTGTGAAGTTACTGCCGGTAAAGATTGTGTGGAACAAAAATTAAAGAAGAATACTATTGAAGGGTTACGTCTGATCAAGTGATTTATCTAGACGCACTAGACCCCCTGAAATCATTGACGGGTGTGCTAATTTAATATACGCGCAGAAGTTAGGCTCCAACCCAGAAAGCTCAATGTTTGATTCCCATCGAAACCAGGTTCTATTATTAATTGCTATTTTGATTTTACGATACCTTAATTATGCACTCTTGCAATTTTTACATTATTGCGTAATTAAACACGTTTTTTTTTTTTTTTTTTTGGTCATTCCTCGTCGCTCCTTCACCGACATAACGCCAACGACTTGACAGGTGCCAAAGAAGGATAGTCGGAATGAGTCTCCCTTCCGCTTGATTCGGGAGTAAAAACTAGGTAAGTAAAATGCACTTATAAGAAGTAACTTGTTCCCATAAAAATGCCACGACGCCCGCCCCCCCCCCCCTCCCGGCCCCTTAATACAAGGAGAAAACAAAAAAAAAAAAAAAAAAAAACAGATTTTTATTGATTCGGTCGTCACTGAGTTTAAAAAAAAAAACGTTCAAAGCTCATTCTGTTTTTTTTACTATCATATGGTATAACAATTACAGATTATTAGAATTCCTTATGATTCAATCGTAACTAAGTTGCAAGAAACAAACAGTACAAAATCTATTAAGTTTTTTTTTTCTCCTTTTTGCATCTCCCTCTCAATTTGATCATTACGTATTCAATTAAATATTTTTTTTAAATTTTATTTCTGTGCTTACATGATGATGAGTGTCTCTGTGTACCTGTCAAGTGTTCACTTCTCTTTTGTCGCAAACCAAGTGGAAGACGTAGAGGCCTCCTAGTTATCATGCTGTTCACCATGCAGTCAATCCTCCGGAGTTTTGTCGGGGGAGGAACCACGAAATAATAAATTAAAAACTTGTTTAAAGACCGGGTAGCAGGGTTGGGCAATATCGCGATGCAAATGTATTGTGAAGGTATTTTAGAAATAGTTTTGGTATTTATATTTTTGTATCGCGATACAATTTTTTATTCACTGTTTGCATTTCAATATCGAAATACATTTTTATCGTATTCGCGACTCCAGCAAAACGGACGCCGCCAAGCGGGAAAACCGGGAACCAGCCGGTCCAGGTCGCTCCGCGCCCCTCCGCGTCTCTGGTGGCTTTCGCGGAGACGTGTTGTCGGCGCGGTGGCGAGCGATGTAATTTGACGAAGGTCCGAATATTTCTTAAGTTTGCCTGAGTGATCATTAGTGTGGTGAAGCCTGAGTAGATTGTTTTCTTCTATTACGTGTTTGAAAGCCCGTTTACTCCACAGCACACGGTCGCGTGCTTTCGATTTCTTGGATGGGGAGGAATCACGGAAAAACTTCTTGATTTCTTGTCTGTCTCGAATCACATTCAAAGTGACGACTGCTTGGTAACTGATACTGGAGGGAACATCAATGTTGCAGTCAAGTGAATGGGAAGGTTCGATTGCTCCTTTTTTTAGTTTGGTTGTGTTCGGTTAGCTTCAAGTTTGAGCCACCCACGCCGGTCGGTGCGGTGGCTTTTCATCTTGGCTGCTTTTCGCCGAAAAAGCCTCTGGACCACACTCAAGGAGTTGGGCTTATTTCGCAATTACTTGATTCAGGAAAACTTGCTCATTGCAAATGATGAATGAGGGAAATTATCTGTTTTCAAAAGGTGGGAGACAAGTCTCGCAACGTTACATGCTGTCACGGCATTTTGACCTATCGCGCCTCCGATATTTATATTACGAGGACGTCGAAGCCAGCAGCAATATACGTCTACATTGGTCAGGTTGACCGGCCACAAAAAAATACAAATTTTCTCCGTTCAATGCAGAGAGGTTCTGCGCGGATCTTCAATGAAGACTCTCTTCAGTTTCTCCCCGTGCTGCCGGCTATAGAACCATTTGGCTAAGTTTAATAGTATATCTCCGTCTGTCAAATATACTTTTATTCAGCAGCTCACCTAATAGCTAGTCAACTAAGCTCATATTTCAACCCGAAGGATATACTAATATCGCTTTAGTGGGACCCCCCCCCCCCCCCCCCCCCATAGTACGTAGTACGTAATACATAACCCGCTCGTCAAAATGACTTCTCGATTGCTACTAAAACCTGAATTGAAATACGAGTATCAGCTGCTTAGTGGGGCGCCGGCGGGTTAACATGGTCCTTGGCTCAAGAAGCGGTTGCTTAATTTTCGTATTTTTCCTGCAGCCTGTGTTGTTGGCCGAGCAGACGACTGGAGCTGTTTTGTAAGCGCGGATACGCACAAAAGCTCGATTTCGCGGACAGATAAGTCGCATGGTCGAGGCATGCGAGTTAGCTGAAAAGTTACTCTGTGTGGAACAATACTATAGTCATCGCCGCTTTCCTTACATGATCAAAACTGATTAGTATATTACCGTCTCCCCGGAGCCCATAGTTTCGGTTTTGAACGAAATCTCCGAAACGAAAGTTTGACACGAAAAGAACACAAAAACACCGGGAAAACAAGACTATGCTTTGCAAGTTTATCTGCACCGGCTACACTTAACCGTCTCAGTTCAAATACCTATAAAATTGGGCATTAAACAAAAGAAAATCTGTTAAATTGAACGCGCCACCTGTTCAGGCGGCCCAGCCGAGCCGCCGCGACCTGGACTCAGCCGCCATGTTTGTTTGGTGGGGGCGCCCCCTATAGGTCGCTGGAGTCGCGAATTTCTTGCATCGCGATAAAATACCGGGCCAATCTATCTCGCTACAGTGTTCGAGAAATGAGTGACCCCAATCGAAAGCTCAAGAGACTGTTTCCTTTCTTTTTTCGTGTTTCAGGG